TCTATCTATCTATCTATCTATCTATCTATCTATCTATCTATCTATCTGCTTATCTATCTGTCTGTCTGTCTGTCTATCTTACAGATAAGTTAATGGAACTATAGTTTGTTAACCATTGCTTTTCAACCTTGGCCACTTGGAAGACCAGTGGACTTCAACTCCCAGAATTCCCCATGCCAGCCATGCTGACTGGGGGATTCTGGCAGTTGGAGTCGGCAAATCTTAAACTTGACAAATACTGGTTTAGACAAGTGTCTCTCAATCTTGGTGTCAGGGCTTTAAGATCCATGGACTTCAACTCCCAGAATTCCCCAGCCAGTATGGGAGTTGAAGTCCACAGGTCTTAAAAGTGGCCAAGGTAGAGAATGATTTAGACAAATCATTTATTTATTCTCTTATTTTCTTTGACATAGGGGAGAAGGCTGCACCCCATTGGCAGCCTCGGTGTAAGTCTTGGCTTGGGAAAGTTTTCCCTCCACCGTCCCAAAAGAACATCCCTGGAGAACATCAAGGAAGAAACGTCAGGGAAATCCAGGCCTGAGATGGGATAAGTATCCCTCCCATGGCTTCCAGCAAAGCGATCCGGAAAGAAAGGGGGGCTCCCTCGTCCCTGCACCTCCCTGTCCAGGCTGCTCAAGGAAAGACAGTCAAAATGGAGGAGAAGGAAACGGCCTGTGCCAAGCCGGCCGAGCAAGTCCAGAAGGAATCCTGCGTCATCCAGGCCAGTGGCCCCACCGAAATACCGAGACGGGGGTCCCCACTGCAGATCAAGCAGGAACCGGACGAGGGCCTGGCCCAGCGCTGGGAAGCCCAGTGGCAGAATTTCCTGAAGATGGTGCAGGCCCCGCATCCCAGTTGGGGCTCCTCTCCGTTGCCAGAACTGGTGGCTTTTAGTGACTCCAAAGGGATCCAACCTTCCAGCGGGATGACCCCGCAGGTCTTTGGCTGGAAAGTGAAGGAAGAAGTCTGTGAGGAAGAGATCGGAAACACGGAGGCCCAGAGGCAGCGGTTCCGGCATTTTTGCTACCAGGATGCCGAAGGGCCCCGCGAAGTCTGCAACCGTCTCCGGGAGCTTTGCCACCGGTGGCTGAAGCCAGAGAGGCACACCAAGGAGCAGATCCTGGAGACCCTGGTGCTGGAACAGTTTCTGGTCATTCTGCCCCCGGAGATCCAAGGCTGCGTCCGGGACCGGGGACCGGAGAGTTGTGCCCAGGCGGTGGCCCTTGCTGAGGGTTTCCTCCTAAGGCAGAAGGAGGCCCAGTTGGTGAGCGTTGGTCCTGTGTCCTGTTTTTCCACCTTGTCTTCATGCAAGGATCTTCAAACTTAAGACTTGAGGACTTCAACTCCCAGAATTCCTGAGCTAACAGGACAGGAGGAGGAATTCTGGGAGTTAAAGCCCACAAGTCTTAAAGCTGTCAAGTTTGAAGACCCCTGCCTTGGTGGATTGACCTATAGAGCTCTTGTTGACCTCTTGTAGTTGTGAGGAACTGTTTAAGGAACCTTGAACTGTGTCTTGAGCCAAGGGCATTGTCAGTGACCCCCGCAAAAAGCTGACAATAATCCCCAGAAGCTCGTCAAAAATGCTTAGCCATTTTATATATATTTTGTGCCTTTTAGTCAAGTCTTCACTTCCGGCAACTGCACAGACCGTTCCCTGTGGTTTTCTCAGGTAGATTTTTGGAAGTGAATTTTCTTTGCCTCTTTTCTAGGGCCGAGAACAATTTTCCCCACTCTCCCCCAGGACGTTCAGCTGGCTTCATACCTAAGACAGGGTTAGAAATCAGGATCTCTTCATTTGTAGCTCAGGGTACTACACTGAACTGACTGTCTAGCTCAGGGGTTTCCAACCATGGCCACTTTAAGTCTTGTGGATTTCAACTCCCAGAATAAGCAAAACTCTTGAGGCAGGTAGATTCCTCAAAGAATAGCTTTATTGGATATGCCATGTTGGCACAGGCTGGTGAAAACCGACTCTTAAACGTTCCTGAAATGTTCACCTAATTAAAGTAGAAGTTTTTCACTTTCTCAAAACAAATCAGTCACGTGGTCCGATCAGGATACAGCAGGGGTATTCAAGGGCATTTTTGACCACAATACAGCAAGACAGTGGCTTAAGTGAGTGTTGCTGTCAGGATCGACCTAATTAAATCATGATTCTCAAGCCAAACTTCAGGAAATTTCAAAGGATTTATTAGAGGCGACATACTGGCCCTGCCCTGTAGGAAGCCAACTCTGGCATCCGTAATTTAGAGTCCCCTGTGACCCTCCTGGATGTGTCTTAAATCAGATTCTCCAATTGAATATATTCAATATATTTGGGGGCAAAAGATCTGGTAGTTTAAGTTGCAATCTTTTAAAGATAAGAGTAGGAATGTACTTTCGATTTCAAACTGCTGCACTACTCTCCCAGACTTCCTTCCTCTCCCCCCCCCCTTTATTTTTTAATGGCAACTATTAAAACAGGTATAGGAATGTTTTATGAATTGACAGTTGCCCCATTTTATGACCTTTCTTGCCAGAGTTGTTAAGTGAATCACTGCTGCTGTTAAGTTAGCAACACGGTTGTAAAGCAAATCTGGGTTCCTCGTTGACTCTGCTTTGTCAGAAGGTCGCAAAAGCGGATCGTGTAACCTCAGGACGCTGCAACTGTCGTAAATACATGCCAGTTGCCAAGCGGTTGAATTTTGATCACGTGACCATGGGGACGCTGTGTTGTGTGATGACCTGGGGCGTGACACAAAAATAACCAAGTTACAAAAATAGAAGAAAGTCCCTTTCATGCCTCCAACTTGGCCCCAAAGTCCAATTATCCTCGGCAGGATATCAAACTTTTAAAACAGTTTACGGAGGGAGTAATTGCAGTCCGCACCCAAAGTAAAATTAATTCGAAATAAAAAACCCAACAGAAACCACACTGAAGGAATTACTACGGCAGGCAAGGATGATTAATTGCACACTTCTACCAGATAACGCAGCAACCACAGTTGGGAGGAAGCCAAAACACAGATAAACTCCGACAAGAATGCACACTTTGCTTCCAGCAACTTTGTCATGCGCAGTTTGTCCTTTTAACCAGTCCTCGCCGCTGCAGCCCACGAAGGGGATCAAGGCCCCTTCCTCCCCCGTAGACCATGCCACTCATGTTTCTCCCTTATCCGCTCCTCCCTGCTTGCCTTAGGACGAAGAAGGGATGGGCCTGGGTCTTCCTCTGAATGCCCATCCGGCCTGTGCCCTTCCCCAGTTTCCTCCACAGCCACTGGAGCCAGACTCCCACTCTCTTGTCAGCTGTTCCATCTCTCCCTCGGAGTCAGACTCCCAACAGGGGCATGATAGGTTGTAAGTGTGAAAAACCATCATAAAGCACCAATTTCATGGCCGTTGTAACTTTGAATGATCATGTTCTGACCCAGGTCCCCAAAGATGACAAACCCACTGTAGTTGAAGCAATGATTCCTTTAATAGGAGCACCAGCGGCCCTGGAAAAAAGTTTCTCTTTCCTCGCAGGCTAACAAATCAGTCCGGCAGTTAGATGAACAGTTGTCTGCCCCATCTATTCATCTCTACCCGTGTCTTTTATCCCCACAGCTAGGGTGGGGCTTTGCTAGGAGAGGTGACTCTTCCGTCCCAAGTATCGGCCCATAGATTTCCACTGCTCTCCTCTCCTCTGCCTTCTGTGTAGCTGCTTGTCAGGCACTGGACCCAGCTGTTCCTCTTCTTCCTCATCAGCCACCTCCAGACCTGGGAGCTGTTGACTCTTCATGTGAGGACTGATGGACGGCCCAGGGTCCGTCTCTTGTCTCTATTCTCTCTTCCCCCTTGGAGTTCTCTGGTTGACCCTTGACTCTCAGACGCTGCCTCATTTGATTTAGGTGCTGGAGGGGCCGCCGGCCGATAGGCCACAACAGGTCACTAAATGAATGGTTGTAAGTCAAGGACTACCTGTATTAGAATTGGTGGGGGGGGGGCATCATTTTTTTTCTTTTGGGTGATTTTTTTTTCTCTCTAAATTTCCTATCTAGAGATTTCCTTGTGGTCTCCCATTCAACCCCTAACCTGGTTTGACTCTCTTAGTTTTCCAAGTTCAGCTTAGCTTGGCTAGGTGGCGCTGCCTGCTGCAATTCGGTTTACTTTCCCAGCGTTAATAAAAGCCGGATTGCCATGTTATATTGTCCAATTGTCCTATTTTTTTTGTTTGTTTGTTTCAGTATCACCGGTTCCTTTGAATTAATGGGCTGGTCCTTTGTTTGTTCTTTCAGGGCCAGGATTGCTTTGAGGAAATGACGGTGAATCTTCCAAGGATCCATCAAGTCTGCTTGGGGGCCTCTCGAAAGCTAGGTATTGTAAAGGGAGTGGGTTTCCTCCCCTCGGTGTCCTAATCTATTGATCGAACAGCTTGATCTACCTTACAGGGTTGTTTTTTTTTGGAAAATAGGAAGTAGGAATAAAAATAAAGGTGAGATGAAAATCAAATCAACTAACCAAAGTGGCTATTCCATCAGTGGAGGCTTTTACAAAGATCAAGTAAGGTACTAATACCATTCTATAAAGCCTTAGTAAGACCACACCTAGAGTACTGCATCCAGTTTTGGTCACCACACTATAAAAAGGATGTTGAGATTCTAGAAAAAGTACAGAGAAGAACAACCAGGATGATGAGGGGACTGGAGACTAAAATATATGAAGAATGGTTACAGGAACTGGGCCTGGCTAGTCTAGGGAAGAGAAGGACCAGGGGAGATAGGATAGCGGTCTTCCAATATTTGAGGGGCTGCCACAGAGGGGAAGGGGTCAATCTAATTTAACAACCGCACTGATTCACTTAACAATTCTGTCAAGATAGGTCGTAAAATGCGGCAAAATTCACTTCACTGCTTTAGCAGTGAACATTGTCGGCTCAAATTGTTTTGTTTTTTTTCCCCCAAAGTTTTTTATTTTTTATATTTCATAAATTGTCTCTTAGTGAACAGCTTAGTTCCAGATTTTTACATTTCTATACAAACATGACCTTATGATCTTTGCCTTTCATATTCAGTTTCGTATCGTATTTTTCTTCTTGTATTTTCTATTCATATCTTAATTTTTCCATTTTTTTTCTTCAAATATTCTCTTCTTAATACAGATTCTTTATACAATATTTAAAGTTACATATTCATTTCATATCATATCATTACATTTATGAATTCTATAAATTTTCTCTAATATCCTTCACATTTATTCCATATATTTCTATTCATGTCTTAACCTTTTCTATTTTTCTTCAATTATTCTCTTATCTTAAAATACAAATTTCTTTATATAATTTTTAAAATTCTTATTTCTAATTCAATACTCCTTGTACTTGTATGTGTCTTATTTGTAAATTCATCACATATTCTTGGTTCATTATTCAAAAAATTTCATTATAGTTCCAATAATTAATAAATTCAAAATCGGCTCAAATTGTTGAGGACTGCCTGGGTCAACTAATTGTCTTGGGCAGAAATCAACCACCAGAAATACCGGAAGTCAAAAAATGGGCCTATTTTTCGGCCTGCAAAAGCTTTCCTCAAGCCTCTGGGAGGCCGAAAAAGGCCTCAAATAAGCCAAAAATCAGCTGGGAGGTGTAGTGCAGGTAAGGGGGTGACGGGGTGGGAATTGCGCGCACATGTGCAGGGGGCATAAGGGGGTGCACACATTGCCTTCTGTGTGTGGGCATGCACGCAAGCACACGCACAATTGTTGTTGCATTGTCCTTACATTGTATGTTATAGATCAGTGGTTGCCAACCAGTGGAGCGGGGACCACTGGTGGTCTGTGAGAAAATTTTGGTGGTCCGCAGAGAAATGGCACCCCCAAAGCAATTAATCCAGGCTGCGTGGAAACAAGGCTTGTGTCGCTTGCATTGCAAACAACACAAAATAGTGAGGGGAGGGGGGGAATTTGCCCCACTTGCCCAAGTGCCTGGCCTGGCCTGGCCACCGGGTTACTTCTTTCCGCTTCTTTCTTCTGCTTTTGGCTGCACGCAAGGAAAGCAGCAAAAGTCTTTCTTTCTCTCCCCCAAACTCCTCCAGAAATGAGTCTTTGGGACCCTACAAGGCCTCCTGCTCCAAGAGGCTGTGCCGGCGCGACAAGTCTCACAAAGACTATTTCTAGCGGAGTTTGGGGGAGAGAAAGAAAGACTTCTGCATCTACTGCTTTCCTTGCATGAAGCCAAAAGTCTCTCCCCCACCCACCCCACCGAGAATGGAGCTGGAGACGGTATCCTGCGATCCCAAATAAAGAATGATTGATCAGTAGGACAATGGGGTGGGGAATTTTCCTGCAGACTTTTTGGGGGGATTTTCCTAGGGTCTCTGGTCCGCAGGATTTAAAAGTATGAGTTTTGTGGTCCGTGAGGTCCAAAAGATTGGCGGCCCCTGTCATAGATGACTTTCTTCTGGGGTTGTTGGGTCTTTTGATCCGCTTAGGATGTTTTGAAGGGCTTTAATTGGGCTTGGGTGCTACCCTGATTCCTTGTGGTTGTAGGAATCTGTTGGTGGTTTCTGAGATATTCTTGATGTATGGCAGTGTAATTCTTTTTGGGGGTAATGAAACCTTTGCAAGAAAAAAAGGCAAGCTCTCTCTCTCTCTTTTTTTTAAACCCTTAATTTATGCCATATACACACAGCTACAAACTTAAAGATGAGAATGTTTTTAATTGTTTTCTATTTTTTCTTCCTATTTTCTTCTCCTTTTGTTTCTTTTCCTTTCTTTCATTTGTGTATATGTTGTTGGTTTGTTTTAATTGTAAAATCAATAAAATTTATTTATTAAAAACAAAAAAGGCAAGACCAGAGAGTACCAAGGACCGCTTGGTTTATGTGATTCTGGCTTTTGGCATAGGTTGGAAACCTGCTGTTTTGCCAGAGTAAACATGCAGATCTCGGATTCAGAGGTAATGAAGACACAGATGAGGTGGAAACTAAAGTGCTTTATTGAAAAAGCCTGGGGGAGTGGCAGAAATTTAATTAAAGGATGATTCATGGAAAGGATAGAATCTTAACTTTTTTCAAATGCTGGAAACACCATCCTCTCCAGCCCAGGAAATGAGAACAGACACCCAAGTTCTTTGCCTCTTGAGAAAGTTTGGTGGGCGGCCATTTTACTTTTTTTTTTAATTTGGCATTTCTATTACTTACCTTTGTTAATTATCGGCACTCAGAAGCATCTCTCTGAGGCCAGCTTTGTACATTTCCACTGCCAGGCTTTCCTTTGGCAGGTCTGCCATAAGTTTCATAAATCAATACATTCATTCATAAATTCATTTGTTTATTTTATCCTTTTTTTTTTTAATGGCTTAAACCATTCAAAAGTATCCGGGTTATTTTAGCTCAAGTTTAAAAGTACAGATGCAATAAAATAAAATAAAAATGATTTTTTAAAAAAAAAATATTTGTGACAGTAAATTAAAATTAGCACACGTGCACGGTGGAAACTAATCAAGGAGAGAAGCAACTTAAAACTTGTAGAGTTGTAATTGCAGGAATGTTCCAATCTCGGATGGCAAACCTCAGATAAAGAATGTTTCCAAGCAAATACAACTCCGGTAAACAAAGTCACTAATCTAAAGGAGGATTAGAGAGAGGAAGTAAACATATGTTAGACTTTAACTAGAGATAATTAATTGTGTTAATTACTGTGCTAAAGAGTAACGAAAATTAAGCAGTAACCAAAGTTAACCAATGATGGAGGATAACTAAAAATGTGTATAAATGCAAGACTAGACTCCA